GTGTAGGAGCATATCTGGAAGCATTCCCCTTAAGATTCGGATGAGAATCCAGTTGTAGAATTCTGCTGTTCTCGCAGTCGTAGTCGCATTCGCGATGACAGTCGCAGTGGCAACGGCAGTCGCAGTCACAGCCTCAGCCTCAGCCTCAGCCTCAGCCTGCCTCAGCCTCAGCCTGCCTCAGCCTCAGCCTCAGCCTGCTTCAGCCTCAGCCTCAGTCTGCCTTCAGCCTCGGCCTCAGCCTCAGCCTGCCTCAGCCTCAGCCTGCATCAGCCTCAGCCTCAGCCTCAGCCTGCCTCAGCATCAGCCTGCCTCAGCCTCAGCCTCAGCCTGCCTCAGCCTCAGCCTCAGCCTGCTTCAGCCTCAGCCTCAGTCTGCCTTCAGCCTCGGCCTCAGCCTCAGCCTGCCTCAGCCTCAGCCTGCATCAGCCTCAGCCTCAGCCTCAGCCTGCCTCAGCATCAGCCTGCCTCAGCCTCAGCCTCAGCCTGCCTCAGCCTCAGCCTCAGCCTGCTTCAGCCTCAGCCTCAGTCTGCCTGCAGCCTCAGCCTCAGCCTCAGCCTGCTTCAGCCTCAGCCTCAGTCTGCCTTCAGCCTCCGCCTCAGCCTCAGCCTGCCGCAGCCTCAGCCTGCATCAGCCTCAGCCTCCTCAGCCTGCCTCAGCCTCAGCCTGCCTCAGCCTCAGCCTCAGCCTGCCTGCCTCAGCCTCAGCCTGCTTCAGCCTCAGCCTCAGTCTGCCTTCAGCCTCGGCCTCAGCCTCAGCCTGCCTCAGCCTCAGCCTGCATCAGCCTCAGCCTCAGCCTCAGCCTGCCTCAGCATCAGCCTGCCTCAGCCTCAGCCTCAGCCTGCCTCAGCCTCAGCCTCAGCCTGCTTCAGCCTCAGCCTCAGTCTGCCTTCAGCCTCGGCCTCCGCCTCAGCCTGCCTCAGCCTCAGCCTGCATCAGCCTCAGCCTCAGCCTCAGCCTCAGCCTGCCTCAGCATCAGCCTGCCTCAGCCTCAGCCTCAGCCTGCCTCAGCCTCAGCCTCAGCCTGCTTCAGCCTCAGCCTCAGTCTGCCTTCAGCCTCGGCCTCAGCCTCAGCCTGCCTCAGCCTCAGCCTGCATCAGCCTCAGCCTCAGCCTCAGCCTGCATCAGCATCAGCCTGCCTCAGCCTCAGCCTCAGCCTGCCTCAGCCTCAGCCTCAGCCTGCTTCAGCCTCAGCCTCAGCTGCTGCCTCGGCCTCAGCCTCGGCCTCCGCCTCAGCCTGCCTCAGCCTCAGCCTGCATCAGCCTCAGCCTCAGCCTCAGCCTCAGCCTCAGCCTCAGCCTCAGCCTGCCAGCCTCCTCAGCCTCAGCCTGCCTCAGCCTCAGCCTCAGCCTCAGCCTCAGCCTGCTTCAGCCAAAGCCTCAGTCTGCCTTGAGCCTTGGCCTCAGCCTCAGCCTGCCTCAGCCTCAGCCTGCATCAGCCTCAGCCTCAGCCTCAGCCTGCCTCAGCATCAGCCTGCCTCAGCCTCAGCCTCAGCCTGCCTCAGCCTCAGCCTCAGCCTGCTTCAGCCTCAGCCTCAGTCTGCCTTCAGCCTCGGCCTCAGCCTCAGCCTGCCTCAGCCTCAGCCTGCCTCAGCCTCAGCCTCAGCCTGCCTCAGCATTCAAAATGTGGCCCGGGAATGGAATTCTGGGAACTCGAAGAACACGAAGTGGCCTACAGTTGGCTCCGGGCATTCAAAATCATGCCCAGGAATGGAATTCTGGGAACTCGAAGATCACGAAGTGGCCTACAGTTGGCTCGGGGCATTCAAAATGTGGCCCGGGAATGGAGTTCTGGGAACTCGAAGAGCACGAAGTGGCCTACAGTTGGCTCCGGGCATCCAAAATGTGGCCCGGGAATGGAGTTCTGGGAAATCGAAGAGCACGAAGTGGCCTACAGTTGGCTCCGGGCATCCAAAATGTGGCCCGGGAATGGAGTTCTGGGAAGTCGAAGAGCACGAAGTGGCCTACAGTTGGCTCCGGGCATCCAAAATGTGGCCCGGGAATGGAGTTCTGGGAAGTCGAAGAGCACGAAGTGGCCTACAGTTGGCTCCGGGCATTCAGAATGTGGCCCGGGAATGGAGTTCTGGGAGGTCGAAAAGCACGAAGTGTGTGACTGTATGCGAAAAACGATCCCCCCCGGCAAACCCCAACGGCCCCCCAACGGCTGCCCAGACCCCCCTGTGGAGTAATGTGCTGCTCTCTTTTTAGCCCATTAGAAACCTATCAGTCTTCGATGTTAGGTAACAATTCCCAGGAACGCACGGTTTTGATATCGGGGGCCTATCGCCGATTCATCGGCGATGTATTGTTGATTCCAGGTCGATCCGATGTATTGTTGATTCCAGGTCGATCATTCTCCCCCCCCTGTGCCGAGCCCCCTCCCTGTCTTTCTTCCCCCTAGGAGGGAGGAGAACGGAGGAGGAGGCCGGAGGCGCGAGGGGATGGGCGGCGGGGGGGCGCTCCGCTGCAGGATCTGGCGACGACGCCGGAGGACGGCGCGGAAGGCGACCGGGAGTGGGCGGCGGACGTCGGGCGGGGCTGGGATGCCCGAGTTATCCGGGATGACTGCGGTCCAGGGTAGCTCCGGTTCGGGCCCCCGAGGCTCGAATCTGTAGCTCACCTTGACCACCCCCAGCCCTGATGATTCGGAGCTCTGATGGGCTGGGACAGAGCCGAGTTCGTTCCAGAATGCTCTCAGAGCGCTCCCGTACGCTCTGAGACGGCCGCGGTTTCGTCTTACGCGTGGGGGGGCGGCGGATGGCGGCCGCTGCCAGCGGCCGCAGAGGCGGACAGCCGAAAACCAGCCCAGCAGACACACGGCGCGGAAAAGCCGCCGTGTCCGTCGAAAGTGCGAGCCGAGGCCCTTGCGTCCAGGTGGCCGTCCGTGGAAACTGCTGTCGCACCCGCTCCTCCGCCGCCACCTGCTCCTCCATCTCGTCGTGGCCCGCCGGCGGGGCCCCGGTGGGAGCGGGCCCTGGTGGCAGCGGGCCCTGGACCCGGGGTCGTCTCCTGGGGGGCAGCTTCGTGCTCATCGTCGATAGAACGAGCGCTCCAAGAGCGCTGCAGCAAACGGAACACCCGCAAACGTGGCCGAATGTCAGGCTACTGAAACAGGCTGCGCCACGCTGGTCCCGGGCAGGCTGTGCTGCCCGGCGGAAGGGGGCGAGGGCGGGAGAGGCAGGCAGACGGCGACGGACGCCCAGGCGGGAGGCCAGGGCCGGCGGGGCGGGCGGGCAGGCAGAAGAGGGGCCAGGCGGGGACAGCAGGCAGGGAGCAGGAGGAACGGAAAGGGAGGGAAGCAGGAGGAAGAGGAGGAGGAGGAGGAGGAGGACAAAAGGGAGGGAAAACAGCGACCGCAAGCAGACAGGCCGGGCCAGGGGCCGGGAGAGAAGGGCCACCCGCGACGAGGCTACGGACCCTACGGCGGCGACCTGGGCGGGGTGGCCGCCCGCAGCACGATGCGGCGTGGTGGGGATTGCCCTCTGCGGGATCCATCCACCGCCCCGCCAGGGAAGAGCCGGACGGCGCGTGGGAGGGGCGCTGGCGCGACGTTGGCGGAAGGGCGCGGGGGGCGCCCGTGCTGCCCAGCAAGGGCGGGGGGGGTGGGCGGGGGGCGCTAGACAGCGCCGGGGGCACCTCACGGCGTCTGCCGTGGAAGCCGCCGTGGCCGCGGCCAGGCGGGCTGCTGCCACCCCCGCCCCTCCAGGCTGGGTCTGGAGGCGCGGCAACACCGCCCGCGCGTTTTCCCTGTGCAGGGAGACGGGAAGTCGCTGGGCGTGTTGGTCCGCAACCACTGCGGCGTTTCCCACGGTGACGTCAGCTACCCGCTTGGCCAGGACCCCGAAGGCCCTGCGTGCCTCGCAGCCCCGCCCGCCGCCATGGGTTTCCACCACCGTGGGGAGGAAGGTGAAACCCTGTGCCGCGCAGAGCCGCGCGGTGTCCTGGTGCTGCCTTTTGAACTCCTCGTGCCGCTTCGTCGCCGCGCTTGACGAAACGGCCGACGCGGCGAGAAGATCGGCGCGCAACCCTGACGTGGCGGCAAAGTCCCAAGCGGCCGCCGTGCCGTTGCACCGCCGCGGCAGGTAGACGTCGGCAGGGCGGCGGCCGTTGTCCTCCACTTGGGCCCCGCTTTCCTCGCCCCCGGGGGTGGCCTCCCCGGCGGGGCGCGGGGGTAGCAGCCCCGGGCGCTCCCACTCCGCCCCGGCGTGGCCGGCGGCCACGGCGTCGAAGAAGGCTTGGTTGCGCCGGGCGTTGTGGCGCATGGCCCGGTCGTCAGCGGCCGCCCCCCTCGGATGCGCGCTCGGAGGTCCGTCGGGGGGGTGGCTTCTCGGACACCGTGGGCGTCCCGAGCGGTCCTCGGGTGCATCTCGGGGGAGGGGCATCGTGTGCTTCGAGCATGCGTTTTGTTGTTTCCTGCTCTACAGTGCGGTGGCGTTCGCGCCACCCCTCCTGCCGTCGTGCTCGGGTCTGGGACCAGAGTCATTGTTTCCGAGCTTTTTGCATTTCCTTTGGATGTCTCTCGGGGGCCTCTTTCGGGGGCCTCTTCGGGGCGCCTCGGGGCCTCTGGGGGGCTCGTCGGGGCATGTTTGAGGTTTTGTGCCTTACTGTGGCAGGACAGGATCCCGAAGCCTCTCCGCGGTGCCACCTGGCCGCGCGGAAGACCCGACGATATTGAAAGACACAAGGTTTTCCAAGTAATCATTCTATAGGCTTACGCCACATCCGCCGACCCCTACATCAACTACTGCGTCTCCAGGACTGCATTTCGCGAGGTTTGTTCGAATCATGACACGGCGCTCGACATCGTTCCTGTTGCTTCGTTGCTGTTATCGTATCTTTTGGTGCTCTTTTGCGGCCTTCTGGTGCCATCTTGGCCTGTCTGCAGGCCATATCCGGCCGCCTCGAGGCATATTGGGCCAAGTTTTGGGGTCTCTTGGGGGTTTCCTGGGGGCTTCTTGGAGGCCTTTGAGGTTCTCTTGGGGGTCCGTCAGGGCCTCTTGGGTTGCTCTTGGAGCACAGGGGGCGTCTTCGGGCGGAAGGCTCGAAAAAAGGTGCCCTGTGGGCTCTGTCTTGGAGCCGTCTGGGGGCCTTATTCGGTTGTCTTGGGGGCTACGGGGGCTGTCTATGCACCCTCTTCGACCCTTTTTGGGGGGCCCTTTGGCCGTCTGGGGGCGATATTGAATGTTTCTCTGCCCGTCTGGGACGTTGTGAAAACCGAATAGGCGAGCATGCGAACAATGATTGTTTTTCTAAGGGGATGGGGCGATTTGCTGTTTCCTGGGACTCTCTTGGGGCGCATCTTGGAGCCTTTTGGGCCGTCTTGGCAGCTTCGGAGGCCGCCTGGAGGCCATCGTGGGCGTCCAGGGCGATATTTCGGCGAATCGTGGCCCCCCAAGACCGTTAGGGAAGCGTTTCGGCGTCTTCTTGGCCAGTTTTGGAGCCCTCCGCTCCCCCGTGACGCGTTCGGTCCGGGGTCGGGCTGGGCGAGGACGGGGGCGTCGAATTGCCGGTTTGGGGTCCCTGGGGGGGTTTATGGGGGGGATAGTCCCACACGCCTAGAGACCCACAAGGGGTCGGCGGATTATGGTGATGATGTTGCTGATGATGCTGTGTAATGGTGATGGCGATGTTGGTGCTGATGTTGCTGCTGCGGAGTACGATGATGGTCATGCGGATGATAATGCTGTTGGTGATGTTGTTGATGATGATGGTGGTGATGATATTGATGATGATGCTGATGACGATGATGATGCTGCATATGCTGGTAATTGTGTTGATGGCGAATGTGCTGCTGCTTATGACATGGAGGTTGATGCTGTTGTGATTGATGACTCGCATCCCGTTGACCATGAGGATGCTGATGGTAGCTGATGACGATGGTGGTGATGATGATGATGGTAATGGCGGTGATGCTGATAATGGTGGTGCTGATGATGATGACGATGATAATGCTGATGCGGATTCGGATGATGATGATGCTGGCGGTGATGCGGACGACGATTCTGACGATGATGATGATGATGATGACGATGTCGATGCTGGTGGTGCTGATGCTTTTGACGATGCTGCTGATGATGTTGATGATGATGCTGATGCTGCCGAGGCTAGTGGCGACGATGCTGCTGATTATGCTGATGTTGATGCTGATGGTGATCATGCTCATCATGCTGACGCTGACGCTGGCGCTGCGGCTGCTGATGATGATGATGCTGATGATGAGTTGTAGGAGGCAAAATATGCTGATGATGCTGCGGCTGATGATGGTGAGGGTGCTGATGGTAGTGATGATGATGCTGCTGCTGATGATCATGATGATGATCATCGGGGTGGTAATGGTGGTTCTGATGCTGACAGTGATGATGGCGATGGTGATGCTGATGATGATGGTGTTTATGATGGTGATGAAAAAAAAAAAAAAACATGATGATGACGATGAGGATGATGATGCTGATGATGACGAGGTTTATGCTGCTGCTGATGATGATTACGATGGTACTAACAATAATGTTAATGATGATGATGATGCTGATCATGATGATGCTGCTGATGTTGCTGTTGATGATGATGACGATGGTTAGGAGAAGGAGGATGGCGCGGATGATGATGTGGACGATGACGAGAGCGAAGAGGAGGAGGAGGAAGAGGAGGAATAATAGTACTAATAAGCAGAGAGAACCTGCTGATCTCCAGCCCTTTTGATAGGAAGCCGTACGACGCAGGAGAGATGGCGGGCACAAAAAAACTGTTGCAGGTGCTACGGGGGGAGAGCGTGGATTGGGATGAATGGGAAGCGGAACTAATGCCACGAGACCAGTGCGAGCGCTGCCGCCGGAGGATGCTTGTAGAGGCGTTCACGAAGTACGATTTCCAGAGGAAGGAAGGGCCAGCTTTCTGCAAATAATGCACGGAAGAGATGAAACACGCCAACGAAAAATGGTGCACAACGTGCAAAGGGTGGGCAACGACAGCGGAGGGGAAGATGCGGCGCGGAGCGGTAGCGGTCGGGGCGCGGACGCAGCGGCCGGCGACGGGGAGACGAAAAGGATTCGAACAATGTACTGCGCGAAGTGCAGTCATGTCAAAGCGATGAAGAACTCGCGGAGCGGCAACGCGAAGTGGAGCGACAGCGTCGGCACTGTGCGATGTTCGAACGAGAAGTGCCTGTCGCTGTACGGTGAGAAGGCGGACGTGTCGGATGCACAAAAGAAGCACCATGCAGCGGGGGTGAGGCTGTGTAGGACATGCGCGGAGGAACGTGACAAGGCGACGCGCGAGTCGAATAATAGGAAGCGTAAAGAAGAGGCGGTGGCGAAGCCGCTGACGTGCTGCGCGCCAGGATGCGGGGTGAGTTTCTGAGAGACGGGGCATTTGAATCGCAACCAGGCGGGGGACCACAGGGCGAAGAAAGGAACGAGAGTGGTGAGCGGGGACTGCAATAAACGCGACGTAACCGCGGAAGGGGTCGTCGATGAGTCGAAGCGGTTGAAGCGGTTGCTGACGTGTG